ACGGGAGCTGTCTCAGCCTTGCCACCCAGCCTGCAATGGCCGGCCAAAAAGCCGGACACTGCCGTGCCGCCAGATCTCGAGATCTGTGAAGGCAACTGGAAAATGGCCGAGGACGAACCAAAGCCTGTTACGAAATGAAATTGCCAACAACTGGATTGTAGAAACCGGCCTTAGCATTGCCGAGGCTCGTGAAAAATGGCCTTTAGGTATCGCCGTAGGCAAATTAAATGTGGTCTTTGCAGAAGGCAAGAAGCCTTCCTTGTCCTGGGTAGCACCGTGTGCCACGTCAACACAAGATGCCAATCGCCAGAGCGCCTCAGCCTGACCTGGCACTGTCCACACAACTAGAAGACACTCCAGGTGCCTTCGTGGGGGCAAGCATTGACTTCAAAGCCGCTCACAAACAGGTGCAAGTCCGCCCTGAAGAGCATGGCCTTCTACTGTTTGCCTTTCAGGAAAAACTCTACCATTATAGAGTATGCCACGTTGGAGGCCGTTTCTCGGCGTTCTGGTGGCAGCGCACTGGCGCATAAGTGCACGGGCTTTTGGCTTGGACGCCCCGCAAAGCCTTCCTCTTCGTGGACGACCTGCTGTGCGCACTCGTCCGAGATAGCGCTTCAGAAATGTTCGCCTTAGTGGTGCTGTTCTTCTGCGCGATTGCTGCGCCAATTTCGTGGAAGAAGGCGCAGTTCCAGGACAGCCTCATTTGGTGTGGCTGGGAGATCAACTTCTCCCACGACACCATTCAGCTCGTGTCCGCTAAGCTGATGAAGCTGGACGCCTTGATCAAAGCACTGCTGCGAAGCAAACGGGTACCCCGTAAAACACTCGAGCAGTGCATAGGCCTGCTCATTTGGGCCACCAGCATTGCATTGCATCTCAGATCTTGGTTAGCGCCGCTGTACTCTGATCTCAACAGCCCACCGGGCTCGATGCGCTCAATACCACCGCAAATGTGGTCAGCCTTCACAGACCTCAAAACCAGGCATAGCCTTCCCAGCCTGTGGGCTCCAAAATTCTTGAAATTTCAGGCCGCCCCACACACTGCCCTCAGGACGTCCCGCGTGTGCCAGGCACCAGCAAGCCCACGTGGGTACGTATCGCGGATCCGAATAACCCCTATACTGGCCTTTCCAAGTCGAGCCAGCAATGCCTTACGTGGCTGCACTCGCCGGTTCAGCCCTTGGCACGGCCGCGCCAGCTGCAAGCACTAGCAGCTGCGGATGCCTGTGCCGAAGACGACTTGGCAGGTATAGGGGGCTGGGCAATCACTTCATCGCAAGTGGTTTGGTTTGCCGAAACCTGGAACATGCAGGACATACGGGCAGTATGGCCTTGCCTTGTCAAGCCTGGACAGCGGTACATCGCATGTTTCGAAACGCTGGCGCAGTTGGCACTGTTGCAAGCCACCCATAGCCATATTGGTGGTGGGCACTACTCGTTCAGCATGCCTTCAAGCACTGATAATTCGGCAACGGAAGCAAGCATTAACAAGTTGTTCACGACTTCCTGGCTGTTGCATGCAGCTAACAGCCTTCTGGGCTCAGCGCACAACGTGTTGCTGCAGCCAACACATGTTCCGGGAAGGAACAATGATTGGGCAGACGACCTAAGCAGAGGTCGGTTGGCCCGATTCAGCCATCGCCCTGAGAGTCGCGTACGCTTCAGCCCTGCAGGCCTTGCGCTATCAGGCAGAGGCATCCAGCTGTTGCCGATTGATGCCAGCAGCGTGTAGCCGAGCCTTAATGCGTCCCAACAGCAGTGCGACCCATCGCCCTGGCAACCAGAATATCTGGCTGCATCAGTCAGCAGCTTGACAGCAAGCCGCTTTGACCAAAAAGAGCGGTCCCTGAGCAACAGGATGCTCACGACCAAGAGAGTGCAATGTCACGCGACGCTTGCCCTGCCAGGTACAACCCCACTCTGAAGGGGGGGTGATGAGGCCGACGGCCCAGCTGGCTCGCTTATACCGGGGTTGCCTGAAACGCTGAAGGGGGGGTCAACGCACCTCCTGCTCCAGGCGCATCCGTGCCCTGGAAGCAGTGCTACTTTCAGCAATCCCGGTTAAAAGAACTGCGGCCGCTTCGGACTTGCTTTGTTCTTTTGGGTGGTCTGGTTTGGGTTCAAGATAGGAGCAGTGCAACATGCCTTAACGCTTAGGGTTTTCTTTTCCCTTGTGTTTACGGCATGTTGTGAATCTACTTCCGTGGTGGCCGTTTTGCTCCTAGCCTTGACCCAAACTTGATTTGTTTCTTTTGAAACCCACCCACCCACCCTGCACTGCCTTGTACAAGGCTCTGCAAAGGGAAGTTGCAGACGCTCTGCACTTCCTTTCATGGTCTCCGGACCTCTCGGTCTCCGGACCGCCCACGGTCTCAGGACCTTTAGGTCTCCGGACCGGCGTGGGCACGCCTGCCACGCCTTGCGCGCACTGCACGCACTTGCAAGGACACGCGCTGTCTTGCCTTTTAAGTTTCACGGGGGGTCAACGCACCTCCTGCTCCAGGCGCATTCGTTCCCTGAAAGCAGTGCTACTTTCAGCAATCCCGGTTAAAAGAACTGCGGCCGCTTCGGACTTGCTTTGTTCTTTTGGGTGGTCTGGTTTGGGTTCAAGATAGGAGCACTGCAACATGCCTTGACGAAGTCAAAATGTTTGCCACCAGGATTGACAATGCGTATTCGTGCTCTGTTCATTTATTCTGAATGTCTTCTTAATTCAATTCGTTACATTTACTCGTTGTTTCATTATTCTTAATCAACGAGTTCTTTCGGTGAGTCCTCTTATCTGAGAAGTTGGCTCATTGCGAAAGTAATCTCAATCTATGCTTTAATGCTTGACTAATTCGTTGGTAAATGCAAATTCATTCCAAGAAGTTGAAATTCTCTCTCCATTTGGATTTCCAACAAAATGCCATGTAAGGATCCACAGTGAGAATTGTGCCCGACAAGAAGTCGCACAAAGGAGCCATCCGAACGGACGGCGCCTGTGAGATGAGTGCGGACCTTGTGGAGGTTAGTGGCCAAGAGTTTCATAACTAGAGGCTTCCAGTATGGCAGCTCAGTATTTATATATACGTGTATCTGTGGGTGTGTGTGGGTTTGTTCTTGCTGTTTTTTTTGTTTTTTTTTTGTTTTTTTTGTGTTAGTCCTTGAACTCTGCGTGTTTCTATGTGTTTGTCTTATGTTTTTGCTTGTATTTTTGTGCGTATTTTTGCGGCCTGCCTCTGTCTCTGTGTGTGTCTCATGTTTCCCTTCGAAAGTGGCCTGAAAATGTTGCTAGTAAGCATTGTACGAGGTACTCAAGTTATCGGTGCGAAAAGGCAAGGGCGAGCGACTGGTGTCTTCGTCACCTCAGATATGTTGTGTCCTCTCCGACACTGAAGGCACAACTACATCTATCGCCAAGGTGCTCATTCAACATGTTATGTAGTTTGTGCAAGATTCTACTCATGCATTGTTTTTGCCTTAGCTATGACACACTTACTTGTACTTATCAAGGGTATGGTTGTGGTCAACCCCGCGCTGGATAAGCAGACATTCCTCGTCCGCGAAAGTTGCGTGAAGGTAAAATGGCCCACTGAGGTGAATGTTCGTACAATAGATCAAGCATTTCCCTTGTTGCTTGCCTCCTCCTTCATTGGCTCCTTTGCGCTGGAATATTGAAGCTTATTCTCTATCCAAGGATCTGAATGTTGCTGTGACTTGTCCTTTTGCCTGCTAGAATCTTACCTACTCTGACTTCAGGATTCTTTTCACTTGTAGCTGCAAGTGTTCATTTCAATTTTCGTAAATTTTGTTATATTTTAATGCTCTTGAACATACCTAACTAATTCTTCCGAGCTCTGAGCTAGTTCTTGCTTTTTTGTTAGGGTAACAATGCCAAATTTGGCGTTGACATCGTCAAAACAACCGCCGGCGCACACAATCGGCCAGGACTCAACAGACAAATTTCGGTTTGTCTGAGCATGTGGTCCTCAGCTCAGCCATCATATGGTATGTCATGATATACATGTACCTACGTATGCACAATTTTATATGGTGGACAGATATAAATTGCATAAGTAAACTGAGATACAATGTCTTCATAACACCGCAGACGCTATAACAATAGAGGTGATATTCAAATACCCGTATTTTGCTTGCATTTGTGCGGTCATTGTGGAACAATGCAAGTGGGGCTGCCTTCATGAATGACATGCAAGGAAAACTCTCCACAAACAACCGTGATTTGTTGTCACGAACTGCATTTGGTATGCTTCTGAGGGACACAAGTTTCACATCAGTGACAAATGTGAATCAATCACAAGTTGGAGCAATTCTTCTAGTCATAGCATTTCGAAGCTTGGTGAGCCAGGCATTCGAAATTTTACGTGGCAGAGCCGTAGACTAGCCTGATCTTCGTCCTTGGGGGGCGACTTCGAGGTGAGCACGAGGACGCGCTTGGGGCACAAGAAGATGAGAGAGCCACCAAAGGCAGCGCGAGAAGAGGGGTGCATGAGACACCTTGCCCTGCTGAAACGCGTTTGGGGCTGCGACCATTGCAGACCCTTTTGTATGCTCAAGGAAAAGAGCTTTCAGGTTTCATTTCGCAGATTCAATGTCGCAGGGTTCAGCATCACACATTTTTCAAATATTTCCATCAGAGGTTTTGCTTGGGTGAGTGTGCGCGAGTGCTTGGAGTGGCTGACTTTGTCACTGGAACTCTCTCTCGCTCATTTTTTAATGGCCGCTGGTCGGGTTGGTCGTTTCTGTGGCTGGTCGCTTTGCTCGGTTTCTCTGGCGCAAGGTTTCTGTTTGGTTTGTTGGTTCTGGTTCCTGGGTCGCTCTTCCTGGCCAAGGTGCTTTGGCCCAATGTAGGGGGCCAAGGTTGATTGCTGCTAACTGGGGAGCACAAACAAACAGGTCAGTTTTGCGTCCCAACAATTTGCACTTTTGGGGTTCATGTGTGTTTTGAAGATGCTACGTGCTGTTGAGCAAATTGTTTGAGCCGCTTTAGCCATCTTGTTCCCACAGCGACTTTCTGTGTGATTCGAGTGATGGCTGGACGTCAAGATGTCGAAGAGTTGCAGGACAAGTCTTAATCAGGCTTAGTCCGCAGAGTCTCAATTTGGTTGGTCAAATCGTTGCGAGATCTCTGTTCCGTGCTGATGAGCAGGCTGCAGCAAGCATTGCTCTCAAAGTTCGGAGCTGGAGCAAGGTGGATGTGCATCGATGCCTGCCCCGCGTCTGCGTGGCGAATTGACAAATCCAAGGCTAGCCGATTTGAGGCGAGTTGGCGAACCGAGGCGGCCTGGGCAGCTGACTAGGTCGCCGCTGCAACACACACGCCACTTCAACTGTCATGCGGCGCAAGTTGCGGAGTTGTGGAAGGCAGTTGGTGATCCAAAATGACTGCTTGGTGAACATGAATCCCGACCTACATGATGTCCTCCAGGTCTTCCATATTCACACCCAAGTAACCAAAAGGAGGGGCGTGCTGCCAGAAAGCGCAAAGTGCGCATCTTGAAGGCCAGGTTGGTGTGCTGCAATCTCCAGTGCCAGTCCACTCAGGTGAGCCCTTGCGGTTGCTGGCGTCCAATACCCAACACCTGACCCGTGCCAGGGCACAGTGCTTTTGTGTGGCAGGCCGTCGTATGAGGTCGTCTGGGTTGCATCTGCACGCATGGCGATGTGCCGCATGGACCCAATGGATGCTTGCAGCGCGCATGTGACACTGTCGCGCCGGCCCGCCTGACTTCCCTGGCTTGCCCAAGCTTCGCCTGAGTCATGCTTTGTCGAGCTTATTGAGTGCCGCAAGGATGTCTGCAGTGCAGGCAAGCAGCGCTCGCCGTATGTACTGTCGGCAAAAGATTGACAACAGCCCTATTTGCAATGGAAAGCGGGCCAGCCCTTGGCAGTTGCTGGCGTTGAGTGCTTGATTAACGAACATATGTGTGAGGCACCGCTTGCCGGAATCGAGTATTGTTGATGAGCTCGGCTTCTCCAAGCTTCGCCTGAGTTCTGCTTCACTGACTTTTTTCCGCGTTGGTTGTCGTTTGGGCTGCATTCGCAAGCAGCACTTGCCGTATGTTCTATTGGCAAAACCCCAACTGGCCATGATGATCCGTTGGGTTCTGGCAGTTGGCGTAGAGTACCTGATTCAAGAATAAATGTGCGAGCTTTTCACCTGTGCAGGGGCAGGGCCGTCTAGTGCGACCAGCCTGCCGCCTTAGACTGACTGTTCCAGCTTTGCTTAAGCCTGGCTTTCAAATTTGTTCATGTAGTGTTGGTGGCCTGCCGGGCTGCATTGGTAAGCACGGCTCAAGTTCATAGAGTGAGACAGACTTGGACACAACCAATATTAGCCGTTTGGGCTGCCATTGCAAGCATAGCGGCTCGCGCAGCGCAGATTTCTGCCGCGAATGATGTGGGCGGCGTATGGCTATCTGAAACAATTTGCAAGCAACAGAACTCCACGTATGCCAACTCTTTCGGGCACGCGCGCCGTATGTGTTCAGATTGAGTTTGCCAGGCGCTTGATTTGTATTCATGCCTATCCGTTCGGGTGAGCCCTCGGCGCTCGAATACTTGTTCAAAGACTCTGTCCAAACAGCCGCATGTAAAGTAACCTTCCATTGGAGTTTATTCAGTGTTGGTGGCTGTTCGGGCTGCATTTGCAATCATGGCGATTCCGCAAGGATGTCTTCCGTGCAGAAGGCAAACAGCGTGCGCTATATGTACTATCAGACGGAGCTCGAACAGTTTCGCGCTTCGCAATGGTGATTGTATGTTTGGGTGAGTCCTTGGCGGTTGATCAAGCAACATGTGCATATGTGAGCTCTTTCATTTTCTGCCACGCTTTCTGTGCAAGCTGCGTGCAAGGGCAGTACCCTCTATCGGCGTGCCCGTCGGCCAAACAGACTGTCCGAGTTTTGCTGCCCACCTTGAGTGTATTCAGTGTTGCTGGTCGCTTAGGCAGCATTTGTAAGCATTGCGCTCGAGCTCTTCTCGCATCGCACGGATGTCAGTGCAAGCCTTGTGCACCATTGTGAAGGATCCGCAATTTGCCATAGTGGCAATGCGCTCAGGTGAGCCCTTGGCGATTGCTGGCGTAAAATGCTCAACGCCTGACCAATGAGCTTCACAATGTGGGTGTAACATGTTTTGCATTGTCCTCTCCTCAGCAGGTTGGCTGCCAGGGCAGTGTGCTTTCGTGCAGCCAGCCGTGTCCGGGTTGCACATGGGCCAATGGATGTTTGCAGTGCGCGGGGGCAATCACGGCCAAGTCCTGCTTCGCTGTGGCAGGCAAGCAGCGCTTTCCGTATGTGTCGGAAAGAGCTTTGCAGCGATCGCCCAGAGCGCAATGAAGCCTTTCTGTGCGGGTGAGCCCTTTGGCAGTTGGCGTGGAATGGTTTTGGCAGGGCAAGCGCGGGTCTGTCAGTCGAAAGGCGGTGCCTGGCATTACACTAGCGGCGCGACTCAGTCTTGTCCTGAAATCAATTGATCCAAGGCGGAGAGACTCCAGTCAGCGCGACCGTCCGGCCCGCCCATCGCAAAAGGCCCATTTCCTAACCGACTCAAAGGCAAGGTTCTTGAAGCTCCAGAAGCCTAACAGTTCCCTTCTGAGCTTAGTTAGCTGCAAATTTGCCGTTTTTTACTTCATGTAGGAGTCTTTCATGCGCATGTGGTTTTTTGTTTTTCCGAACAACGAGACAGGACGTGCAACAAAAAGGCTGACCTAACCCGCAAAAGCACCTGAAGAACGATACGGGGCATCCTAGCATTGGAATGAATACACCCCAGGCAAGTAATTTTGCTGGCTCATATGTGAGCTTTGAATTGTTCTGCCACACTGCCTGCGCAGCAGGCTGCGTGCAGGGTGGTGTCCATCCGGGCTGCGTTGGCAAGCATGGCGCTTGAACTGCGCTTCATTCCTTTCATTTGTCGAGCGAGACAGATTTGGACACAATTCATATTGGCCGTTTGGGCTTACAAGCATAGCTGGTGACGCTGCACAGATTTCTGCAGTGCAGGATGTGGGCGGCGTATGCCTATCAGCAACAACTTGCGAGCAACCGAGCTGCCAAGCATGCCAATCCTTTCGGGCACGGGCGCCGTATGTGTTCAGATTGAGCTTGCCAGGCGCTTGATTTGTATTCATGCCTATCCGTTCGGGTGAGCCCTCGGCGCTCGAATACTTGTTCAAAGACTCTGTCCAAAGCAGCCGCATGTCAAGTAACCGGCCATTGGAGTTTATTCAGTGTTGGTGGCTCTGCGGGCTGCATTTGCAAGCATAGCCATTCCGCAAGGATGTCTTCCGTGCAGAAGGCAAGCAGCGTGCGCTTTATGTACTATCAGAAGGAGCTTGAACACACTCGCGCTTCGCAACCTTGATTATTTGTTTGGGTGAGCCCTTGGCTGTTGATCAAGCAACATGTGCATATGTGAGCTCTTTACATGTTCTGCCACGCTTTCTGGCGTGCCCGTCGGCCAAGCGGACTGTCCGAACCCTGCTGCCCACCTTGACTGTATTCAGTGTTGCTGGTCGCTTAGGCTGCACTTGTGAGCACGGCGCTCGAACTCTGCTTCCTAGCGTGAGTGAGTTTTAGTGACTCGCGTGGATGTCTTTGCAAGCCTTTCGCAGTTTCCCATAGTGCCAATGCGCTCAGGTGCTCAACGCCTGACCAATGAGCTTCACCATATGAGCCTGTCACGTGTTTGCCATTGCTTTTTTCTCAGAAGGTTGGATGACAGCGCAGTGTGCTTTGGTGCGGCCAGCCGTTGCAATTGGCTGTCCGGGTTGCATCTGCACGCATGGCGACTCGCATGGGCCAATGAATGTTTGCAGTGCGCGCGGGCAATCACGGCTTGCCCAAGCTTTGCCTGAGTCCTGCTTTGCCGAGTTTTTTCGGCGTTGGTTTCCGTTCGGGCTGCATTTGCAAGCGTGACAGTTGGTGCAAAGCATGTCTGCACTGCAGGAGGCAAGCAGCGATCGTCGTAAGTACTGTCGGAAAGAGCTTGCCAACAGCCCAATTCACAAGGATGCCTCTCCGTGCGGGTGAGCCTTTTGCAGTTGCGGGCGTCAAGTGCTTGATTAGCGAATCTATACGCGAGCTGTTTAACGGTTCTGCCACACTGCCTCTGCAGCAGGCTACGTGCAGGGGCAGGGCCATGTAGTGCGACCAGACTGCCGCCTTAGACTGACTGTTCCAGCTTTGCTTAAGCCTGGCTTTCAAATTTGTTCATGTAGTGTTGGTGGCCTGCCGGGCTGCATTGGTAAGCACGGCTCAAGTTCATAGAGTGAGACAGACTTGGACACAACCAATATTAGCCGTTTGGGCTGCCATTGCAAGCATAGCGGCTCGCGCAGCGCAGATTTCTGCCGCGAATGATGTGGGCGGCGCATGGCTATCTGAAACAATTTGCAAGCAACAGAACTCCACGTATGCCAACTCTTTCGGGCACGCGCGCCGTATGTGTTCAGATTGAGCTTGCCAGGCGCTTGATTTTTATTCATGCCTATCCGTTCGGGTGAGCCCTCGGCGCTCGAATACTTGTTCAAAGACTCTGTCCAACCAGCCGCACGTAAAGTAACTGGCCATTGGAGTTTATTCAGTGTTGGTGGCTGTTCGGGCTGCATTTGCAATCATGCCGGAAAGAGCTCGAACACTTTCGCACTTCGTCACAGTGCTTATTTGTTTGGGTGAGCCCTTGGCGGTTGCTGGCATCGAATGCTGGATCAAACAGCATGTTCATGTGTGAGCTCTTTCATGTTCTGCCACAGTCCCTGTGCAGGCTGCGGGCAGGGGCAGTACCCTCGAATGCGGCGCGCCTGTCGGCCAACTGTCCGAACCCTGTCGTGAGTGAGTTTTAACCACTCGTATCGCACGGATGTCAATGCAAGCCTTGTGTGCCCGTGTGAAATATCCGCAATTTGCCATAGTGCCAATGCGCTCAGGTGAACCCTTGGCGATTGCTTGCGTAAAATGCTCAACGCCTGACCAATGAGCTTCACAATGTGGGCCTGTCACATGTTTCGCATTGTCCTCTTCTCAGCAGGTTGGATGCCAGGGCAGTGTGCTTTCGTGCGGCAATTGGCTGTCCGGGTTGCATCTGCACGCATGGCGACTCGTCGCCGCATGGGCCAATGAATGTTTGCAGTGCGCGCGGGCAATCACGGCTTGCCCAAGCCTTGCCTGAGTCCTGCTTTGCCGAGTTTTTTCGGCGTTGGTTTCCGTTCGGGCTGCATTTGCAAGCGTGACAGTTGGTGCCAAGCATGTCTGCACTGCAGGAGGCAAGCAGCGATCGTCGTAAGTACTGTCGGAAAGAGCTTGACAACAGCCCAATTCACAAGGATGCCTCTCCGTGCGGGTGAGCCTTTTGCAGTTGCGGGCGTCGAGTGCTTGATTAGCGAATCTATACACGAGCTGTTTAACGGTTCTGCCACACTGCCTCTGCAGCAGGCTACGTGCAGGGGCAGGGCCGTCTAGTGCGACCACACTGCCGCCTTAGACTGGCTGTTCCAGCTTTGCACAAGCCCGGCTTTCAAATTTGTTCAATTAGTGGTGTTAGCCGTCCGGGCTGCATTCGCAAGCATGACGCTTAAACTGCGCTTCCTTCCTCGACTTCATTGAGCGAGACTGACTTGGACACAACCATTTTTAGCAGTTTGGGCTGCCATTGCAAGCCTATCGGCAACTTCTTGCGAGCAACCGCGCTGCCAAGTGTGCCAATTTGATTGGCCGTACGCGCGGTATATACCATTGTAAGGAACTGGACAAAACCCCATTTTGCAATGATGCCTATCCGTTCGGGTGAGCGCTGGGTGGTTAAGAAAGACCTTCACAATACATTTGCATGTCTGGCAACACGCCCTGTGCAGGTTGCATGGCAAGCCAGTGCTCTCTTCGGGCCTGCCACCTGAGACCAAGCAGACTGCCCCTGACTGTTCCAGCCTCGCCCGACCCGTGCTTCCTACCTTGTGTTTACTCAGTGTTGCTGGCCGTCTTATTTGCATCTGCACGCATGGCCACTTGTGCCGCATGGACCAATGGATACATTTGCGATGTAAAATCTAAAAAGGTACTTAGCGGGCACCGTATGTGCTGCTTGCCTGAGTTTGTCCAGTGTTGCTGTGCATTTGCCAGCATCGCGGTTGGTCCGGCAAGGACGTCTACAGTGCAGGCGCAAGCAGCGCTTGCAGAATGTACTATCGGAACGAGCTTGACAAAACCCCAATTCGCAATGATGCAAGCCCTTGGCAGTTTCTGGCGTCGAGTGCTTGATTAACGAACATATATGAGCTAGCAGCTGGCTTCAAATCTCGCGTCATGTACTTATGCAGGAGTCTTTCATGCACGTGTTGTTTTTGCTTTCTCGAACAACGAGACAGGGCGTCCAAAAATAAGATACCCCACAAACCCGCAAAAGCACCTGAAAAACGATACGGGGCGTCCTAGCATTGGAATGAATACACTCCAGGCAAGTAATTTTGCTGGCTCATATGTGAGCTTTGAAATGTTCTGCCACACTGCCTGCGCAGCAGGCTGCGTGCAGGGTGGTGTCTGTCCGGGCTGCGTTGGCAAGCATGGCGCTTGAACTGCGCTTCATTCCTTTCATTTGTCGAGCGAGACAGATTTGGACACAGTTCATATTGGCCGTTTGGGATTGCAAGCATAGCTGGTGACGCTGCACAGATTTCTGCAGTGCAGGATGTGGGCGGTGTATGCCTATCAGCAACAGCTTGCGAGCAACCGAGCTGCCAAGCATGCCAATCCTTTCGGGCATACGTCCCGTATGTACTATGGTACAGATCTTGACAACCCAATTCGCAATGCCGGTCCGTTCGGGTGAGCCCTTAGCGGTTGCTGGTAGCGAACGCTCGAACAAAGACCTTCACAACATCTTTGCATGTCTGCAAGCTTTGATCATATATCATTGTTTGAAACCTGGTGAAGAATGATCGTGCTGCACCCAGACAAGATGCAAGCTCAAGTTTGTCAGAATTGATCCGCTGGTATGTTTCACATCAAAGTCTTGGGGCAATTCGTCCATTGCCAAGCTGCCGGGACCTGGTGAAGCCAGTTCTCCCGATTCAGTCGTGGCAGCGCTTGAACTCTTCTTCCTGCCTTGTGTTTATTGAATGGCCGTGAATTTTGAGAGCAAGCCACCTCAAAAGTGGTTGGTGGACATGATTGAATCCTCATCTAACTGATGTCCACCAGAGCGTCCCTAATCAAAATTCGTACCAAAGTGATGGTGGCTGTCACTCTTCGCATGGCCGCTGAGTTTTGCAACGGGAGGCGGGCGATCGGTCTGGCCGGTCTGTTCAATAGGTATTTGTTGGGATCCAAACCCAAAATGGCTCCGACATCTTGAGAATTTCTGCCTGGTGCGGTGCTCTCTCAGAATGGCCAGCTTTTCCTCACCGGTGACGCAGGGCGCTTTGCAAGCGCCGATGTGGACTCTGCGTGGCAAATGACAGGAAGGGATGGGTCTGTCTCGGTCAGATGTGAAGTCCAACCCGTGCGCGTGTGTGTGGTTGTGTGTGTGTGTGTGTGCGCGTGTGTTTGTGGCCAACTGCATTCCAAGCAGCTAGGGCGGGGGGCCTTGCCCTTCTCACTCCAATGTTGCCTCATTGCACACCAGAATTTCCACACGGTTTTGGTGTCAGAAACGCATAGCCAGATGTGCAGTGGCTGCCCTGCTCAGGCTTGCCTCCCCGTGAGCGGACATGCCTGATGCAGACCATCAAAATGATAGCTCATTGCACACACCCACACATGCGCGCTCGTTCAGAAACGCAAACAAGGCAGATTTGCAGAGGAGCTTCCTACTTTTGGCCTGTGACTGACGCCCCCCATGTTGCAAATTGCTCGGCGCTGGCGCCCTAAGAGCCCAGACGCAGCGTTTGACCAGCCCTGAGTGGCATAGACGCCAACCTGGCCTGCTGGACAAGGTTCGCTGCAGATGGCCAAGCGGAACTTGAAAGTTTTTGGCATCTCGTGCGACGTGCGACGTGGTTGGTGGGACGTGCTTCCGTTCTTGAGCCTGTATTTGTCCCTACCTGTTGCCGGTCAAAGAGCTGCAAAATCGGCACAGAGTAGACAAGGAAGCGAACGAAGAGCGAATAGGCAAAGCTTTGCGGCATACACTTGTTTGTGAGTCTGGGAAACGTAACACACATAGTTTGAAATAGAATACGCGTTGCATATCTTCTATATACTATGTTATTTACATAATATAAATACAATTTAAAGCGTCCCAAAACGTATCTCGAACAGCATTTTCTGAAATAGCTGGCCCCTGTCGGTAGCAAAACCAGATAATATGCGTTTTCTACACTTGATACATGATACTTTATGTAGCACATGAGAACATGCATTTATACTTGACTAGCTGTGACTGAAGAGTACTAATTTTGAAGTTCACTGAACTCTCTCTATATTTTGTACAGTACATGTAGTATATATGTATATATATATACATGTACAGATAGGAGACCCATTGTGCAAGGTATTCATGTCTTTTTGAAAAATCAACATGTAATCTACTGATGTTCGGGCAGGCCCCTGGTTTCTCGATGTTGTTGTCTTTTACCCGAAAGCATGGCGAAGGGTTCTTCCGCTGGGTTCACTTGAGTTGTTCTCATGAGAGTCATTACAAGGTGTCATTGCAAGGAATCATCATCATGAAAGT